TGGGTGTTTTGAAAAGTTTCATGTTGCGATTTTGCATCGTTCTTTTGAGTTTGTGCGCAACATATTTCCATTTCAAAGATCTTTACTGTAACACCACGTGCTTCATTCGTGTAATTATCATATCTATTCTAATAGAAGGTAATTTAGCATTGGGGATTGAAGCAATAACTTTAATCATTTATTTTCTCCGGTACTGATTATGTTAAATGCAGAAGCAATAACATTGCACTTCTCCACGCTTCATGTTGATATTAAATTCCATAATAGAGTGCTTATCATATTGAGCTTCTTGAAAGACAAATTGACGTGCAAAAGGGGATTAAAATTTTCGAGTAATTATAGGGTACTAAAAACAAAAAAAAGTTCACGTCACGTGCTCTTTGATTTCCTAGATTACAGAGAATTCTTTTAATTGAAGGAAGAAACGTATCAAACCTGCTTTTTGCTTGTATTGCTTTCTATTGAGTTTTTGGACAAGCTTTTTAGGTTGCGAGATGCTACATGTACCAGGGAAAATGCCAGACAGATTTACATAATGTCAAGTGGCAGAATTTCATTGGACTTTGGCCAAATAATAGATCTAAAATAATCAATCAAAACCTGTCACATCAACACATGTGAAGCTTTACAATTTTCCCTGTACAAATGGCTTTACTCTTTTATCATGTTTGTCAAAACAAAAAATCTATTTGTACAACACTTAAGTGTGTTGTAATTTTTACGACCTCTCACACTAAGTGTTGTACAATGCACATGTAGTAGAGTTGTTGTCAAAAAGGAAAATTCTACTTGTACATCAACTTTTGTACATAAGGGGCTACACCCCCTTACATAGGGGGTGAGACCCACAACATAAAATATTTTTTATATTTAAGCCGGGTTCCACCCCCATGTGAGGTGGGTGTACACCTTAGTGTACATTGTGAAGTACAAGTAGCAAAGCCCTACAAAAATCCTTTGAAATAGGCATAATGTCAAGTGTCATGTGAGGAATACAATGTGTTACCCCCCTCGTTTCGAGGGTTGCAGAAAGATGGCCACGTGGCAAGCCACGTGTAGGGCAGTCAGAAAAGAGCAAAGA